TCTTTCTTAAGTAAGGAGACTGTCCTTACCTTTATTCTACACTATTCTTTCTTAAGTAAGGAGACTGTCCTTACCTTTATTCTACACTATCCTTTCTTAAGTAAGGAGACTGTCGTTACCTTTCATCTCTGTGCTATCCTTTCTTAAGTAAGGAGACTATCGTTAACTTTCATCTCTGTGCAGAGTTATGAAAACTAACTTTTTATAAATATACATAAAACCACAATGCGTATATGTTGCTTCAAAACAACAATTCTTCCAGGGCATTATTCTCCTGGGTTGGGCGTAGCCCAAGGTTAGGGTGCTCGGACTGTGAATCCGAGGATTCATTTTTACTTTTATTTGTTTTATTAGCAGCTTTTGTACAGTACATTGCTAGAATTTGCATGTTATTTGTTTGTTGACTGATATCAACAGGTATTTTGTAGGTCATCTGTTGACTGAACATAAGGGTTATTGTAGATCATCTGTTGACTGAACATAAGGGTTATTGTATATCATCTGTTGACTAATAGTAATAGTTATTTTGTAGATCATCTGTTGACTGAACATAAGGGTTATTGCAGATCATCTGTTGACTGAACATAAGGGTTATTGCAGATCATCTGTTGACTAATATTAACAGTTATTTTGTAGATCATCTGTTGACTAATATTAACAGTTATTTTGTGGATCATCTGTTGACTGAACATAAGAGTTATTGTAGATCATCTGTTGGCTGATCATAAGGGTTATTGTAGATCATCTGTTGACTGAACATAAGGGTTATTGTAGATCATCTGTTGACTAATATTAACAGTTATTTTGTAGATCATCTGTTGACTAATATTAACAGTTATTTTGTAGATCATCTGTTGGCTGATCATAAGGGTTATTGTAGATCATCTGTTGACTAATATTAACAGTTATTTTGTAGATCATCTGTTGACTGAACATAAGGGTTATTCTAGTTCTATATGATATGATTTAAAGAGAATGTAATGTCAAGTTTCAGTATTATTCTAACACAGGGTTACTAATAGGTTACTCGGGATAATTACAATCATTTTTTAACAGCAACCTCAATTAATTAAACATCAACTGGTGAATGACTTCTTTAAATCTTAAGGGAATCAATTCTTCTACACTAATGAAATGAGAATTATTTCTTCTTTAAAGTCTGACCACTAAAACAAATATTTTTGATTGCTACCTATTACACATCAGCGATCAAATTATAACTAGAATAAACTCAAGGACGTTGGAAAAGTTCGCAATTATGTATCATCTTAAAAAACCTACTGAACGTAGAAGTATCTTCAATAACAGGAGAGTGGCCGAAGGGTTTAAGTGGTGTTCCGTCTCCGACAGTTCGCTGCCAGAGGGCAGCACTATCTGGTCTATGCTTGACGTCATATTTTACCCAGTCGCACAAGTCAACTACGAAAGCACAGTCTCCTGAAAAATAAACATTCAGTAAAGTACTTATTTATTTAAGAAAGTTCAATTACAGAATGGCTTCACAAATATTAGTGAACAGATCACAATGAAGCTTGTCTATATTTAGTGAACAGATCACAGTGTAGCTTGTCCATATTTAGTGAACAGATCACAATGTAGCTTGTCCATATTTAGTGAACAGATCACAATGTAGCTTGTCCATATTTAGTGAACAGATCACAATGTAGCTTGTCTATATTTAGTGAACAGATCACAATGAAGCTTGTCTATATTTAGTGAACAGATCACAATGTAGCTTGTCCATATTTAGTGAACAGATCAGAATGTAGCTTATCTATATTTAGTGAACAGATTGCAATGTAGCTTGTCTATATTTAGTGAACAGATCACAGTGTAGCTTGTCTATATTTAGTGAACAGATCACAATGTAGCTTGTCTATATTTAGTGAACAGATCACAATGTAGCTTGTCCATATTTAGTGAACAAATCACAATGTAGCTTGTCTATATTTAGTGAACAGATCCTAGTGAAGCTATAGTGAACAGATCACAATGAAACTTGTCTATATTTAGTGAACAGATCCTAGTGAAGCTTGTCTATAGCGAACAGATCACAATGAAGCTTGTTTTTCAAATTTAGTGAACAGATCTAGTGAAGCTTGTCTACATTAATTAATCCTGTATTATCTTTAGAGAACTTAGGTAACATCAATTCCATAAGTATTAAAAAATAAGTCATTTCAATGAATAATCTAAATTCTTATAAATATGTCTGTAACGAATTTGTTATTATGTATTTATTTTAATATCGACGTTCTATAAATTAAACATGTATAGCTTATAGTGTTAGCTATGTATTGCGAAACTCCCGCCTATTCCCCAAATTTGTAGAAGATTCTCGAGAGTAAGTTTGTTTGTTTTTAATTACGCACAAAGCTACACAAGGGCTATCTGTGCTCTGCCCACCACGGGTATCGAAACCCGGTTTCTAGCGTTGTAAGTCCGCAGACATACCGCTGTGCCACTGGTGGGCTCGAGAGTAAGAATCAACTATATATGTCTGTACGTAAATTTAGCTTCCGGTCATCTATAATTTCTAGTGACCTTCATAATTACAAGCATTGTTACTATACACGTAATTTACTGAATATCGATACCTTAAGAGGGCGGGCTATACATTGTTAAATAGATTTCTAAAT